TGTAAAATATTTGTAATTATTGGTCTTATAGACCAGAGAAACCTCTAGTGGATTCTCAATACAAATTATTAAATAAAAATAAAGGCAAAATCTCACCTTAAAAAAAAAAAAAAAAATTAAAATTTTAAGATAGAACTAAATTTTTAAAAGTTTATTGTTTTTGTTATACAAAAGATGATTTGCATGTTACACTTGATCTTAAATTTTAATTGGTTATAATATCCTCACCATAGCACTATAAAATAAAACCCTTTTATTTATGAACAATTCTAATCACCAGCCAGGCTGATTTAATTAAAAATCAGCCTATTTATATAATTTAAATAAAATTATATAATATATTTATATTTTAATTATATTTTAACTATTACACCCATTATGCATTAACTGCACACCATTACGTACTAACTGCCACACCTATTACGCACTAACTGCCACACCTATTATATACTAACTGTCACATTTATTATGTACTAATTGCCACATCTATTATATATTAACTGCTACACCTATTACACACTAACTATGATACCCATTATACACTAACTTCCACACCATTACGCACTAGCTGCCACACCTATTACACACTAACTGTCACACCTATTACGTACTAACTGTTACATCTATTACACACTAACTGTCACATCTATTATGTACTAACTATCACACCTATTATGCACTAACTATCACACCTATTATGTACTAACTATCACACCTATTATGCACTAACTGTCACACCTATTATGTACTAATTGTCATATCTATTATACACTAACTGTCATACTCATTACGCACTAACTGTTACATCTATTATGTATTAACTATCACACCTATTATGCACTAACTGTCACACCCATTACACACTAACAGTTACACCCATTACGTACTAACTGTCATACCCATTATGCACTAACTGTCACACCTATTACATACCCATTACGCAATAACTATCATACCTATTATGTACTAACTGTCACATCTATTATGTACTAATACAAAATATATAATGATCAACTATAAATCATATATTAATAATACGGGCTGACATTTAAGCAAATCAGTTAGGCTGATTTTAACAAAATCTCTTTATTTATATATTATCCCTTACTCTGTTTTGCAGGCAATTTGCCTGCAATTTGCATTTTCTCGATAAATTATTAATCTAAGGGTATATGGCATCATAAGAAGACTAAATCGTTTTGTTCAATAATCTTCGAAAATTGTTATTCTTTTTAGCACACGGCCTCTCTATCTTTTTATTTCTTCGCTCACTTTTTGGGGACCCTTTGAAAATCATGATCTTGTACTACCTCAAAATATCCGACGTGTATAAATATTCGACTTTTGATATAAGTATTTGTATTGCCGACATAACTCAGAACTGCGCAAGCCATTTTGGGGCTTAAAAACGTGAAGATGATTGGGTATCTATGTACCGGCAATTCGGATTACAGTGTAAGGGATAAATTTTGATAAAAATAAGAGAATTGATATTTTCATACCTTTTGATAACGCCATACCCATATAGATTATTAATTTTTATATTTTTATACAATTGATTGAAGATATCTTGTCACTCACCTGACCAAATTTGATTAATCTTTTATTACTTTAATTATATAATGTTTTAGAATTCAAAGAAAAAAAATTGGTTAAATTTGGTTAGGTGGGTGCCAAGATATCTTCAATCAAAGTTTTGTGAAATTTTAAACATCTATCAAATATAACTGCAGCAAAAATTATTTTCAAACTTTGATTGAAGATATCTTGACACCCACATTATCAAATTTGATCAACTTTTTTTTTATTTTAATTGTGAAATGCTGTGAAATTCAAAGAAAAAAGGTTGATCAAATTTGGTTAGGTGGGTGTTGAGATATCTTCGATCAATGATTTGTAAAATTCTAAACTTCTATCAAATATAAGCTGTTGCAAAAATTGTTTTTAAACTTTGATCGAAGTTATCTTGACACCCACCTAACCAAATTCGATCATTTTTTTTATTTTAATTGTAAAAAGATGTGGAATTTAAAGAAAAAAAATTTGATCGAATTTCGTAGGTAGGTGGCGAGATATCTTCGATCAAAGTTTTTGTAAAATTCTAAACGTCTATTAAATATAAGAATTGTTTTCAAACTTTGATCTAAGATTCTCGGCACCCACCTGACCAAATTCGACCAACCTTATGATTTAATTGTTCGAGAAAAAAAGTTGATCGAATTTGGTTAGATAAGTGTCGAGGTATCTTCGATCAAAGTTAAAAAAGTTTTAAAAAATTATAATCTACATGGGCGTGGCATTATCAAAAAGGGCGTGTAAATATCAATTCCCTAAAAATAATTGTAATTTGAAAAAGTTTTATTAGTGATAATTTTTAATTTTATAGTAAACCTTTAAAATACTATATAGATTATATAAAAAATAATTTATATACCCTCTATTCTTAAAAAATTTAATTTTAAATATTTTATTAATTATAAGAAATATATTAAAAACTAGTAAATTGTATCTAATACAAAATTTTAAATTTATAGCTTTCAAATAAAAATTTTATAAAACTTTATGCAGTAATTTTTGAAATAATTAAAAATTTAAAGAATTTATAATACTGCATTATTTTTAGCTTAATATTTTGTTTATTTGGCTCATTAAAAAATTTTAAAAGTGTCAATAATAATATAGTAGGGTACTATACTAACTACCCAACAAGCCCGAATTGTTCAACTATGCAATATATTTATTAGTTTAATTAAGAGAATACAGTTAGTAGTAACAGTGTTAATAAATTTTTTGCTTTAGCTGGTAAGCTTTTTGTTACATTATAAATAAAAGAGCAAAAGTTATTAAAGATATGCGGCATTCACAATCGCTGAGTGATGAATTATCAGATTTGTTTTTTGTGTTGGTTTTAGTGTACTGTTACGTACAAAGCCGCAGAAATTTTCCAAATTTGTAAATAAATGTAGTTGGTATTTTGTGGATTAGAAGGTTGAGTTAGATTTATGCTTGGCTTGTGTTATAGCCTGTTAAATAATTGATAATTGTGGTTAGACGTTTGGATATTAAAAGGTGTATTGAATATTTGTGAGTAGTATTTGTGAATCTTTAGCTACTTTAGTTTAAAAAGCTTGCGGTTTTTGTATTATGCCAAGAAAAGCAGTGGAGTTAGGGAGGAGTATGTCAGTGTGTATTTTATTTTGAGTGTAATTAAATTATATGTTAGAGGCCAAATTACCACCAGCATTACATATAGAATTCAAATGGTATTAAGAATGTGCACGGAAAACTATACAACTCGAAAAATGACCAGATAAAGTTACCATGTAGTATTAATACAATGAATTTGAAAAATAAATAACATGAAATAAAAATATTTTATGTGAAATAAGTGAGAAAAAACAAATTAATATATAAGAAAAAATATTTACTCTGTCGTCACAACTTCTACAGTACAAGTTTATAAAACCCTTATGACTTTCAATTATTAGATTATTGGTCCCGCACTTTATAAAAATCGAATCTTAAATAAATCATTAGAATGACCTATCCATTTGTTATATTGAGCTTATACTAAATCAAGTTTCAATTCGATTACTTAAAAGCACGATTGCTCTTAAGTAATAGCGCACCACTGATCTTAATAATTCAAATACATGTGATGATATTCGCTCTTTAATATATTTTTGCACACCATTCCCTTTAATTTTCAGGTCTTTTTAAACGCACACATATTATTGAATTTCTAATCACTTCCTCTCTCTTGTGCATTGATTGTAGAAAAGCCCAGGCTCTACTTCTCCATATCTTCATACATGTTACTCAAGATGCCGTTGATAAAGAAATAAATTATATTGTGCTAACGAGGGTTGGAAAAATGCACTAATATATTAAGAAAGCAGAATAAAAAAAAAAATAGGATCATGTATCAAATATCTATACAATTAATTTAATGTTGCGCAGTTACTTATTGTGAAATAAATCAAGTTTACTATAACGTAAGTGCATCAAAAATGTATCTTTTTGCCATCTGGCTTTGTTTGTACTACCAAAAGATTATATTTATTGGTTACGTAAGATGATCTTCGATTTCTTGAATAATTTATTGCATTTATATAATGGAAGAACAGTTGAATTCAGTATGTTCGAATTTTGATTTCATTTAGGAAGGCTCAAAAATAATAATAATGATGCCACACTTTTTTCGACTCTACTATAGCTTTTAGACTTTTTGCACGATGGCAATCCAAATGTAAATTTTGCAATATAATATTCGTTTTTTTTTTTTTATTTTGCATTTTTTTTTTCTAAAATTTTCTAAAATTAATGACTACTTCCGAAATGTAGGTTCGCCAACTTGCTCTAAGCCATTTATTAGGTTATACTGTTAAATCACCTCAGTTACAAAATATTTTCAAGCAAAATAATATGAGACCAATAAAAGATTTAAAAAATATGTGTAGAGAAGATCCAGTAAGGATATTTTTACAATACTATACAGTAGTCATTTTAATAATTTTAACGGATAAAAAATAATTTATCATTCTAGGTGATTGCGCACGATGCTTTTAAAGCTTTAGTGAATTTAACTAGTGATGATGAAATATGCAAAGAATTGAATGATGATAGCTTTTTGCAACTTATGATAAAGATGACTACGGTGTGCATATTTGGATAACATTGCTCCCGATTTAAATGTTATCGTATTGAAATTGGGTGTCATTATATTGAAATTAATATTAGCTCCAATTTTTTAATTTATTAACAGGATAATAGGGTTATTCTTGCTGATATGGCATGTATGCTTTTGTCTAACATCACGAAATATCAAGATATTGCGATTAAACTCATGAAACTGGAACTTCAAGCGGTTGAGGGATTGCCAAGTTCAACAAAAGCAATAGATCAACTAGTTGATGTATTTGTCAGAGGTTTGAATAGAGCCTATAACAAAGAAGCTGAATTTCATTTTTTAGCAAGTGTGTTTGCAAATGTAACAATGGTATGGTTAACATTTTGTGAGTCATGTTTATGTGTATTTTTTATTTCAATTATGATGACATCTAAGTTACGTTTTCAAAATAGTTACCTCAAGGTCGTGAATATTTTTTGACCAATGCATCGTATGACAATGTAACTCCGTTATCCAAACTGATAATATTTACTGAACACCCTAACATCATTCGAAGAGGTGGTGTCATCTCATGTATAAAGTAAGTATACAGTTCGTAATTTATGGAATATTGATTTCAATAAAGCATATGTTAACCTTTATAAAGAAACTGTTGTTTTGCAATAGAGCATCATTTAGACATGTTATCACCATCAAAAATTAATGTCCTTCCTTATATTCTTTTACCGCTATGTGGTCCTGAAGAATTTGATTTAGACGTAAGTTTTTTGTTATTTAAAGACAAATTTGCAAACACTAACAAATATTTTTTTGTTGAAATATAAAGGATATCGAAGGAATGCCAGAAGATATTCAATTTCTGCCATCTGATAAGGTATATATAAAATATTTTATTGTTTAACATACCTTTGGTCGTATAATTAAAATATGCTTAATTCAACTACGAAGAAACGGGAATCTGATGCGTATCTTAGACAAACTCTTTTGGAATCACTTGTACTTTTAACAACTACTCGACAAGGTCGTACGATACTTCGTCAAAAAAAAGTTTATCCTGTTGTTCGTCAAATGCATCTTGTTGAGCAAGATGAGAATGTCTCAATAGTAGTGGAACAAATTGTAAATATGTTAATGAGAGATGAGGGGCCTGAGGAAAATGATCATGACGTTTTGAAAACAACACGGAGTGAGCACCCTGATTCAGGCAATGATAATACTATTGAGGAGATTTAAACGTCAGAATATGATTTTGGAAAATTTTGAAGAATAATTTTAAAAGGGATTAATCGAGCTTGTTCTTCGTCATTTAATACTAAAAGATATATCCTTATAAGCATTCTATCTTTAAAATCCGGATGCTCTACGATATTGGTACAATAATTCTAGTTTGCAAGAAAGCATGAGAATTATAATAACAGATCTTAAAATATATAGAACTATATAGAACTATATTTCTCTGCACACAAGCACTTTGTTAAGTCAAAATTGACAAAGTATACCACTTAAAAGGGCTGGCAAACAGTAATAGTAAGATTACATCTGTAAGGTAAACTTACATATTTTTGTTATTAAATTATTCACGACCGCTTTTTTGATTGTCACGAGAAGATCCGGTAAATACTATCGTACAAATATTGAGACATGATGATTTGAGAATTTCAGATATGTTTTATGTAGTGAGGCGTGAGATTTTTTCTGCATAAAATCATTGAAAATTGCCAGATGCAGTATACCTTAAATCGCCACAGAAGAACATGATGTGACGCAATTTTTAATAAAACAAAATTAATTACACATCACATCTAGTATAAATAATATTTTTAAAAATTGACCTATACTATTTAACACACAAGGTCTTTTGTGGAAAACTTCTGCAGAAATGCAAACAGATGACGACATTAAATGATTGTATCTTAGCCTTTAAGCCCAAACTTGTCCCTGAAAATTACATATTGTTTAAATTCGACAATTCTAGTTTTATTATCCATATCATCCGGATGCCTTCTGGTATATCCGAACAGTGTCCGGAATATAAAATTTATCCGATTTGACTCGATAAAAACAAAGATATTTAATTCAATAGTGATAATAATAAATTCCACAATGTATTATTCGCACTAAGATTTCTAATGCAATATGTCATTTAACGATTTGTTTGAAATAGCAAGCACTTTTCGTATCGTCTATGACACAACTAGGAAACGGGAACTGTTGAGATCCGCGTAGAGTTTGGAACCGGTTTTATTTTTCATATGTTAAAACTAATGCTAAAACCGTTTCCAAATTCTAGATCCGCGCTCTGATAATACATAATGTAAGCGATAACTAAAATTTAACCCTTACATATTTTATAAATTATTACACATTATTAAGTAATTTAAGAGTATCGATTACGAATAAACTATAAACTACATATATACAAAATTGTTTATGAGTTAAATAAAAAGATCGATCGTACCGGAATTAGCTATTTTTGCTACGCGAGTTATGACCACCTACTTCTGCTGAAAGGGAAAGATTCTGGTCATTTATTGCAAATATCCATTCACCACAGCATAACAAACTTATAAATGAACGTGAAACAAAAATAACATGTATTCGATGGCATATTGCACAAGAAAGAAGTAATTCACGTCATATTGTTCAAAATAAAGAAATAGACTTGATCAAATCGTTCAAACTAATACAGCTAATTCTAATGAAGCAAGTCTTGAAAATACTGTATCGAATATTGAATTTGATTATGGAAAATAATGTTGATAATTTGGAAAAAAACTTTGAAGAAAATGTAATGTAAACAATTGAAAAAATGATAATTTTAATACTAATGATCAAATTATATATAATGAAGCCGTAATTGAATCTTCCATCTAAGTTACGCATAGTATTCAAAGAAAAATTTTAGAGAACTGGTTAGTTTTAAAAAATCTCAATAATGTTTAATCATTAAATTAATCATAAATTGTATGCGATAAATATTTTTTAAAAAAAATAAATATTAAGCTTGAAAGTCTTTTTTTTTATCTTGGCGTATTGATTTTACCAAATATATGTTAAATATGTAAAAATATGTAAGAATATATAAAATTTTTGCCCATCTCTAATTGTTTCTGTGTTGTGACTAGCGTTGTAAACTTAATTAAATTTAAATACCAAAATAGTTTAATTTACAAAAATATTATTGTTAAGTAATTGCAAA